TACTAAGGCAAATCAGTAGATAAGTGGACAAAGATTATACAGCCATCAAGATCTGAAATTTTGCCTACCTGGTTTCAAAAGCCATTCTTCCACAGCTCCCTTAGCTTTTATCCATATAACTTACTGAAGCATAAACATATTCATCTGCACGATAGCTTCATGTCTTCTACCACCCTCCCCAGAAGCAGAAACCCTATTTTTTCTCAGTACTGTATTTCTAGCACCCCATCCCACAGAGTGTAACATAAGCCAGTGTTCAGTAAACCCCTGTTGAATAAGTGAAAGATCAACTGACTAATTAAAGCTGAAAAAAAGCTTTTCTCATATATATAAAAATAATAAAGCCTAGCTCATAGGACTATTTTGAGGATTCATTTAGCCAGTGTATGTAAAGAATTTGTATAGTGCTTGGGACATGGAGAGCCTCTAAATTAACAGTGACTAAAACGAAGAAAAGTCACTAGGTGCAGATACTGTTGAGCCGGATGGGATTTGGAGAAGATTGACTTGTTTTGTTTTGTTTCATTTTGTGTTTTTCAGAGAAAACACCATGGGTAAAGGATGTAAGGTGGGACTAATAGGGAGTGAAGTGGGACCCACCCTAGAAGTGGGACTCATAGGGAGGCCTGACCCTAGTAAAAAATCAAATATAAGAGTTGGAATAGGGTCAGGTAATGGGGATGAGAAGGAAGTTGCTTTTGACAATCATCTACTGCTGAAGGTAACTAATCAAGCTTTTCTAATCTATCAACTACTATTTTCCTGCATTTTAAATGCTGACCATATCGACTTTATGTGGTAAAATCATTCTGATTCATAACTGCTCTATTAGGTACATCACAGATGATTTACTAGTAAAAAGGAAGAAAACCTATAGGGTCATGTTTGAGAGACAAGCAAGCTATCCTTCTTTAAATCTGGAAACTCCTTAAATGATGAATCTGAATTGAAAAAAAATCAGAAACATTTTTAATACATAAATCTGTAAATACATGAAAAATATAAACAACTTTGAATAATGAATAAAAATATTCCTAGCAACTTCTGAGTAAAGACCACCAAAAGGTAAGAAATGCAGCAACTCATTAATGGAAGCTAGGATATGATATACTGCACTATCAAAATGAAAATGACAAAAATTATTATTATAAAGTAAAGAAGAAGGTAGAAGGAAAAAGGAGAGGAGAAGAGGTAGACAAACAAGAGCAAGAACAAGAAGAACGCGAAGCCGCAGCAAATATTCGGATAGCACAGAAAACATTCTAGGTCCTGTGCTAAGTCCTTTATACATGTCCACACATTTAACAGTATATATTATACTGTTTAGGTGCATGAAGTTGTAGCCATGCTGCCTTGGTTTGTGTCCCCACTGACACTTACCAGTTGTGGACTTTGGGCAAATTATTTAATTTTGTACTCCTTCAGTTTTCTCATCCATTAAAAGAAATAAACTTATATTCGTGAGGATTACATAGATTAGAAAAATCATCATCATCAACTATGAGACAGGAAATAAATTAAATAAAATTCAATTTACCCAATTGTTGTCCTGACTTAACTAAATATTGAAGGAAAACAAAGGACCTAGAATTTATTCCACATGTGTCACAGCAAATGAAGATGAGTCAAGCTTCCCATAAGTTGCTTCTAGTGCCATTCCCTGTTAGAATAACTTGTCACCAGCTCCATCATATTAGATGTGAGATTCTGAAGATCCAATTGGTGTTATATGTGTTTTTGTATGTGTTTTAGCAGTGGTTGGGAATCCTTTAAAAATCACCATATTAACATCTTCCAGATTAAAAGTAAAAAGGAAGTAGGGAAAATAGAGAATCTATTTATCTGTCATCTCAACTTTCTTCAAATAATTCTAATTCTTGTTATATAGAATTTGGAAAAGATACTTGCAACCAAAAGCCAACATTTCCTCCTTTCTTTCTCCTCATTTTCCTTAGTTGATGACTAATTAATGCAGAAAGCACAAGTTCAGGAGCTAAATGTCTTTGAAGGGGAAATGAATGCCCTTACAGGCTACCATTTATGAAGCCAGTCTCCTCACTAATTATTAGGGAGGCAGCCTCACCCAAGGTTACAGCATTATATTATCCCATCCAAGGTAGTATTTACTTTAGCACATCACCCTTCTATGAATATCATTTTTAAAACTCTGTCTTTTCTTAAATTACTCCCAAGTCTGAGCAAAGTAGATCAATTACAGTCAAGAGGTGGGTAGGAAAACAGACAACAATCTTTGTTCTCAGCATAGAATCAGCAAGTACTTGAAAACACCTTATGTAGAGTTCTGTTTTCTCTCTGAAGAAAGATATTTGCTTCCTGGAGTGTTATAGCAGCAGGGCCTCCGGGAGACGAAAACAATGCATACTTCAATTGTTGCAAGAGACATCATTTCTTTGCAGGCACACAGCATTAAACGTTGTTTTATCAAGAAGCTTCCCTCCGTCCTCTCCCAACCCCTCTTGAAGATGGAGAACATGCTGAATTTTAAGGACTATGGAAATAACAGTCCCTGATGAATGGAACCTAATTAGTGACAACTAAAGTGTCACTTGGCATACATCCCTGAGTTTCAAACAGCTGGTTCCTTCTTCTGCTTTCTAGCACCAGTGCCAGAGAATGGAAAACCCCCAGCCCTTCTCATTTTGCTTAACCTCTTAAGGTTAAGCAAAAGGAAGGGAAACATGGTGTAATCCTCCCTTGCAAATTAAGTGATTAAAAACCCCAGCCTGGGTACTCAGTTGCCATCAATAAGAGAGAGGCCACAGTGACACAGTTACTATCCAGGACAATTCCTGTAAAAATAGAAAAGATAGGGGGGAAATGAAAGGAAATGAATGATAAGCGAAACAAACAAACACAAGAAACAATGATCTATAACCTGGCATCATCACTACAATTTTAAAATAGATATATACAGATCAACAAGAAGAGAAAGTTGTCAATCAAACTGCCAAAAATGAGATGGTCTGGTGTTATCAACCTCATACTGAGAAATTCAATCCTTTTAAGTCTGGAAAAGAGGCATTTACCCCACCCTGCCTAAATCACTAGTTTTCCTCCAAGGCAACTGGCTTCAAGGTAGTCACAGGCTGTGCACCTCTGGACATGGCTGACAAGCAAAGGCACAATTACCCAGCTTTCTCTAATGGCTCTGGTCTTCCTTCGACAAGTGGCTAAGTGAAAGAGCAGGGGAAGGTGAAGGAAATAATGCTCAATTTCTGCTTTCAGAGATAAAAGAGTTTCTCAGGCAAGTTCAGCTTTGACTGAGGAGTCAAAGCTCCAACTCACTCTAGTTTCAGGTAGTTTAGGAGCCCTGCAGGAGTGAATAGCATAAACTTGGTATGGTTAACTGAGTAATTCAAGAGGTGCTTTGGGGATTGTCTTGGCTCTTTAGTTGTCTTCATTTCCTGTTTATGCTTTTTTTGGGAGGGAGGGGGGTGCATCTCTTTATTCTTTGATGCCTCATTCTAATATTGAATGAAGTAAAGGAGATAGAAATTGCCCTAGTAAATGTAGTTGTCTATTAGAAGCTTGAGGAGGGAAGGTGGGAAGAGGGGAAGCCCTGCATTGACACAGGTTGAAACTATTCCAGGATTATCTGTAGGTTCCCCTTATCCAAAGTAACTGACATTAGGAAATGTGATTATCAAATGCCCATTGCACATAGTCCCATTCCCATTCCCAACAATGTCCTTTGAAATCCAAAAGACGCAGAGAAAATCATAATCAGAAAAAAATTACACTTTGTAAGATAAAGTATAATTATGAATGATCTGAAGATTTCTTTTTATTAAAACAAGAAAAACTTAAGAAAAGAGAATGGTTTAGCAGGTATAATATAAACCCTCACATGAATACAGGTAGGACACTGGAGAGTCCATCTCCCCTATCAATGACTCTTAGGCTATGATCCAGGAATGCCCACAAGCCAATAAAGAGATTTTCTATGGTCACTAAAATCTCTTTCTCATTCTCAAAATGTTCATAATATATATACATGTATGCAAATATTTTTGAGGATATTATTCACAACTTCCATTAACTTCCAAAAATGATGTGTGTATGTTTGAATAAAAAAGAGTAAAACCAAAACACTCTGCATAGCACATCACGTTGCTATGAGTACCATCAGTTCCAACAGTTATTTCTTTCTTGACCCACCCTCTCCCCTACTCTTCTTCCATAAAATATTCGAATTACCTTCATTTCCAAAGACCTCTTACCAGGCCCAGCAGCCACCAGAGAACCTCTCCTATCTCTTTCACCCGTATCAAGCTCATTAGACATGTAATTAGCCTTTCTGGATAATAATCACAGTAGCTCAAGTTCATAAATTTCTTTCTCCCTAATCTTTAATTCTAGGTAAGTTCGTGTTGTAAGGCTTCAGAAAGACCAGCCTGTCATTAAATGGAGGGGTGTAAAGATTTTACTATCATTGTGAATAACAAAAAAAATCTTGATCATTCTATTATTTCCTCTATATGAGGAATATAAACCAAAATGTTGTTTACATGCCTCCACTGATGCCCCCTACCTCCTGACAGCTGATGAAATATGTCCTGCATTTTACCTCTGGAAGGATTGATGCAAATCGTGACAGGTCATGGGGTGAAGTTAATGTTGAGATCTTGCCACAGCCTCAAAAATATTTTTCTACATCAGAGAAATTGCTTTGCTATTCCACACAGATGACATAAAAGTAAGATTTGAGGAGAACGGGTGACCAGGCAGTTGGGCCACCTTGGAACAGGTGTGCAAACAGATGCAGGCTAAAATAAGGACAGAACCTGAAGCCAGATGTCAGAAGGTCTAGGTTCCTATTTCTGTATTCTTAGTAACCCTTGTGAGGCCTTAGGCAAGGCACACAACCTCTATGGACATCACGTTTTGTGAAAGGAAGATGAGGGAATAGGATTTGATTAGAGATTTCTTTAAGCTCGTCTTTCAAAGCAGTCATACTTTTTTTTCAAATTTATTTCTAGAACCTTGAAAGTGAAGCATCTAAGATGGATAATGGGGTAAGTGCTGAAGCCCACATTTACTATATCTCCTCTCCATCCCAGCACCCTTCAATGTCATTTTTCCATGACATAGTTTCAAAACTACCATAAGAGGAGGTCCAGATTGTCCATCCAGATTTGACATCCTGGGTTATGGTTTATCTCGCATCTCCGTCATCCCTCAGAATTCTGGATGACTCAGCAGGACTGAACATCTGTCACATCATGATGCTGATACTGAGAACAGTGGCAGTGAGCCACAGAAAAGGTATCAGGTGCCTTCTGAACTGGCAATCAAGGTTTGTTGTCGTCGTTGTTGTTGTTTAATAAAGTTTCTCATATGTTTTGCTACTGTATGAATTTCCTATTAGCCAAAGTGTTGGAATACCCAGAACACCACATTCCATACATGTCGTTGAGACTAGAGAGTGTGCCATAATCAGGGACCAGAATTACTTCCCAGGATGCCTGCAGAACTGGAGGCTTTCTTCAGATACTCTGGAATACCTCTGGTTGGCTAAGGGTTGCAATGTGAGGGTTGCAAGTGAGAGTCATGAGAGGTTCTGCAGCTGGCAAGCTGCAGGCCTCTGCCTTACCCAACTGCCACCATGTCACCCTCCCTTCCTCAGGCCAGGAGTTTTACCTAAGGGGTTAGATTCTATCCACTGAGTTTATAGAAGGTTATTCTCATTTCTCTATTTCTGGAATTTCCACAGCCCAAAACTTCAAAGAAGGTAAACTTCTCTGAGACCGATGTAATTTTTCTTCCTGATACTTCATGTTCCATAAACGCACTTCCCTCTAAACAAAAAGTACAAATGTTCAACATCTAACTCTGGTCTTAATGCACTAAGCATGGACATCATGATTAGAAAAACATGGGTTCAAATCTTAGCTCTGTCATTTATTGACGGGGTGATTTTGTATAACTCAGTTTCTCTAAGTTTCAGTTTCTTTGCCTATAAAATGACCAATTCTAGGAAGCTAATCTGAGTATGGAAGCAGATAGAGATGAAAACTCTTGGTTCAGTGCTTAGCACTTAGTAGGCATTTAAAAATTATAGGTCCTATTATTTAATAACAAAATCATTTATGTCTTATCTATAAATTTGCTAAATTCACCCCAAACAAAATCATTATCATGTTTCTAATTTCTAGACTGAGTTAAAAACAGGAAAAAATATCTCAAACAGAATTTTTATAACTATAATTTCAGAGAAAATAACTAAATGAAGAAAATATCCTATTATTTTTCCATCAGTTAATCTGTTTTGAAAATAGTGATATTTTCCTTGAATTTGAGAATGCCTAAACATTTGACACTTTATTGCAGACTTGTCAACATTCAAACTCTGTCATCATAAATTTACGTCTCTTTCTATGGCCTGGGGTGAATGGAACTCACACACTAAAATCTAGGGTACCACATATTATTGACAAAGCAACAGGATGAGAATGGTCATCAGTACAAACCTCCAAATCATTCAGCAAGGTCTATCAAACTGCTTTTCAGAAAAATTTTACAGCCAACACTTAAAGTCCTAACAAGGCACTGTCTGCCTTACTCATACCTTCATTGAACTTCATAGTCATGCCATGATTTGATCTGCTTCACTCACCTCACCTGAATCATACCTCATTGAACCTTGTCTTTCTCAAAAAAGTAATATTTGTCCATTGTAGATATGCTTGCATTCATTTTCTCTTTTGAAAAATATTGCATTAGAATGTCATTTTTCTTGATTACTGAGTTTTTTTGGCAACTTCTTACATTTTACCTGAGGTAAGGGTCTCACTCATCTCACTGTAGTTTCAGTGCCACTGCAGACCTCAAATAATTTTTTCACACAAACCCCCACTAAATATTTTTACTCCTCCAGCCTTTCGTTAGAGTTTATTATTATTTGTTTATTATTTATTATTGTCATTATTGTTATTGAGAGACATATATTAATATAGAGGTGTGACCACTTAAGCCATTGCATGAAAACAAACACTCCTCCAGGTTGTAGTTTCAACACAGGATTTCCAGAGAACTGTGCAACAATGTAAAACCCACAGGCGTGTTTGCAGAGCCCCAGTGAAACCAGTGGTATTTTTTCTCGACCTTTTTCCATATATGGTAAGATTCCAACACTTCCTTTTTCTTGAATGCCTAGTCTATGATGGACATTACACTAGAGAACTTTATAAGTATCTCATTTAATTTTCCCAATCTTGTAAATTAGATACTACTTCTTCACTTCCAGATGAGGAAAATGAGGAGTTGAAAGTGCTGTATCTCCCTTGAGGTTATGATACTAAATTGTGTGGTTAGCAGTACTTGAACTTGTGGAATCTGACTCCCAAATTGGTGCTACTTCTATCACATCTGGTATATTAAGGGAAACAAACTGGCCAGGCTATATTCTCTTCAGAAGATATCACCATATGAACCATCTGTTGGGGGCGGGGGAAGAAATTCTGAGTTTATATTAAATTAATTCCCTTGACACCTAAATTGCCGTTTATCAGCCACCAGCCATAGCGCACGCACACACCGTCTGCTCCAGTGCAGAGTAGGCAGTTCACCAGGCACAGGACACCACGGAGACTTCATGGCAGGCAACCTTGTATCAAATATTCTCTCCACTGAGATAAGGAGACGCAAATCATTTTTGTGATCAAACAGCATGAAGCTTTTAAATAGGTAGAGATTACATATTATATCTTATTGCTGACAATCTCAATAAAGATACAATAAACAGAAATCCACACATATAACAAATCACACTTAAACTGTGGCTGGTATCTGATTTATGTTAGGTTATAAATTATGGAATTGTGTGAATATGGTGCTGGAATGGAGCCCAGAAAAGGAAATGTAAAAGGGAATAAAAAATATAAAAGATGGGGAAAAACAGTCCTCTCCTCTCCATCTTTTTCTCTCTCCTCTCCTCTCCTTTCCCTACTCGCTTTCCTCCTCAGAGAGTTTTAAGCAAAACCTGATGGAACTTGAAATTTACTCAGAATGTATTCCCTCAGTTGGCAATGTTCTTTCAAAATAACTAAAGATTTCTCAGTTTACAGTAGAGTGGAAATGAAATGAATGGCACAGGTAGTGAATACTTGATGAACTGTAGACATTAATCATCTTGGTCTCTCAAACAGGTTTGTTTTCTTGTGTTTACATGATGGAACAGTGAAAAAGGGAAAGTAATTTACATTTCCATTGTGTCAGGAAAAACAATGTCCCACTTAAAAAAGAAGGGGGAAAACACTGCAATGTAGAAAATAGTTAGGAACGTTGAAAAGGCAAGATTGTTTTGTTTTCAAAATATTCTTCTGAAATATGTGATTATTATGAAAGTTACTTTTAACATAAATAAAATCTTAATGAAACAATTTAATATCCTAAATTTAAAAATGTTAAACTCATTTTAGTATTGTTTCTCTTTTTTCCTGTCTTTCATTAATTATTTCTTGCATCTTCCATGTTTTGTTTTCTCATCATCATGCATACATGTTTGTGTGTGAGAGAGTGGCAAACAATATAGTATTTCAAGTGTCAATCTATGACCTGTAAGAAGGTGACAGATTGCATCTAGACCAGTGTCTGCTCACCTAAGATAAAATCTGACCCGTTATATTGGGAATAAATGTCATGTCAATATATAATAACCTCATAATTTCGAGATGGAAAATCTATACTCACGTTAAAACAGGTGTAACAGCCTAAATTTTAGGTTCTTTAACAGGGTAATTGCAATTTTTAATGACCCAGTATCTATATCTCTATAAGTAGAGCTTCCAGGAAAACTATAGCAAAAGAACTCGAAGCCCTGGAGCAATTGGCCTCCTTTTCTTGTTAGTCTGAAGCAGTGCCCTGGCCTAAGAAAATGGAGAATTGGGAGACAGAAAGACCTCAGCAAAAACTCTGGAACTCTCTCTCTACAGCTGCAATGGAAGAGTTATGCTGAGTCCTAGGCCAGGTATCTGGTAGGAAGAGTGGGAGTAGTGTAGAAGCTTCTATCAGATGGGAGCTACTATAGTGAGGACACCAGTTGAATTTCATTTTGCTTGGTAACTTCAATCAGTTGGGAATGGTTTCCTTGACTTAGCGTTAAGTGAGCAGGTATTCTGGGCAAGTACCTGGGGTCTCAAGAAAGACAACTATGATCAACTCATGCTGCTCTCCATGAGCACAGTAATCATACACATGCCAAGCACTTGCCACCCCTCTATGTGCAATTGACAAATCTCCATATCACAAGACAAGAAAGGGAAGCTCTATTAGAAACATATGAGAAGCATATTATAGGGGTTCCAAGGAGAAAGAGATGCCATTCAGCTGGAAAAATCAGGAAATACTTTGTGGAGTATGAGAGTATTTGAAATGGACCATAGAGAGTTGATAGGATCTCTTTTGGCAAAGAAAAGGAAAAATTTTTTAAAGGATACTGTGGAAACAAAACCATAAAAGCAGCAATGTTTGAGGACTATTTCAAGAAATAATTAGTAACTTTGTTTCATCAGAGGGCAAGGTAAGTGCATGAGAGGGATGAGGGATGAGGTTAAAAAAAGGTAATTTGGAGAAATACTAGATAAGGTATTGATGGCTGATATAAAAACACATTATTGTTCTTGGTAGGTAATAGAGAGACATTGAATAATTGTAAGGAGTAGAGTTAAGTAACTAGAATTGGGCTGTCAAACAATAAACTTGGTAAATAATTCATATACTAAATTTGAAGGAGTTGTGTTTACAGGTAATAGGGAGACTTGTCACATGACTATAATCTTGGGGTACTGAGAGGCTGAGCTAACATTAGAAAGATAGTATTTCCTTTTGTTTGTTTGTTTTTTGAGACAGGGTCTCACTCTGCTGCCCAGGCTGGAGTGCAATAGTGCAATCAAGGCTTACTGAAACCTCAACCTCCCAGGCTCAAGTGATCCTTCCACCTCAGCCTCCTGACTAGCTAGGACTACAGGCATGCACCATCATGCCTGGCTAACTTTGGTATTTTTGGTAGAGACAGGGTTTCACCATGTTGTCCAGGCTGGTCTTGAGCTCCTGGGCTCAAGTGATCTGCCCACTTTGGCTTCCCAAAGTGCTGGGATTACAGGTATGAGCCACCATGCCCTGCCAGAAAGATAATATTTAAGACAGAATTCAGAGAATTTATCGGATACTAACAATGAAATGTAAGTAAGTTAAACTACAGCTTCACTCAAGTTCTCACTCATATGTGGAAGCTAAAAAAATTGATTTCATGAAAGTAGTTTTCAGAGACTAGGAAGGGTAGGAGGGTGAAGAGAGGTGAGTTAATGAGTATAAACATACAGTTAGGTAGAAGGAATAAGGTCTGCTGTTTCATAGCACGGTAGAGTGACTATAGTTAACAATAATTTATTGTACATTTCAAAATAAGTAGAAGATTTGAAATGTTCTCAACACAAAGATAGGATAGATATTTGAGGTGATGGATACCCTAAATACTCTGATTTGATTATTACATACCATATGCATGTGTCAAAATATCACATATACCCCAGAAATCTTTATTATGCATCAATAAAAATAAATATGAATAGAGACTCAGTTTTTGAGCCTGAATGTTAAAAAGTAGCACTGACAGAAATAGGAGATACATTTGTAGGATGGCTAAATGCCTAATTCTAAAGTTAGATGTAGTTCTAAATTATCTTGGACAAGAAGCTTAATTTATCTTAATTGCATTATAGCATCTGTACAAAGGGTATAATCCTTATTTCATTTGATGTTTTGAGATTGAAAGTTAATTAAGGTAAAGCACTAGGCAGTATCATAACTGGGAGAGAATAATCACTCAGTAATCCACTTCTTCTGGTAATTATTATTAGTAGGAAATTCAGGAAAAGCAATCCCTCAATTGGGGATAATTTGATTGTAAAGAATAAAATACCACTTAAAAATTCAAGAGACAGTATGATTAATCAAAAACATGTAGAGAACTTTCAATAAGCCCAATGACTGCCCCCTGAATTCTACATACAAGCAACTGACTGAAGAATAGCACAAATAAAATCATTCAATCCAGCATTGCTAATCTGCCTAGGAACTAAACAATCATAAAGAAACGTACTTTTTTTAAAATCTCTCTCTCTTTCATTGTCTTCTCCCTTCTCCTGTTGAAGATTAGCTTCCTTTACAAAGTTTTTGTTCATGTTTCTCTATGAATTTTGTTTGTCTGGAATCAACTCTGTTCCTATCTGTGTATGGACTTACAAATCGAGGGGCCAATACAGTCTTATAGGCTCAGTCCATGAAATGTGTTTTTAAATGCCTGGAAGTCAGAATTCAGTTTCCCCAACATGTGTCCAGTGTCCATTTTGGTCCAGCAAGAATCTTCCAAGGTATCAGGACTAATGTAATTAAAAGTTCACCATTCCTGGATGTTGCAAGGGGCAGGCTTGCAAAGAAAGGAGAGGTGGGGTAAGGAAAATAATGGCCATTTTTAGCAGAAGGAATTAATGTAGGATGAGAAAAGATGACGTGTCCATCTTTCGTCGGGCCAAGGGTCTTTCAACACATTGAGAGATCAATTTCAAAGCAGCATGTGGAGCTAGAGTTTGGAAAGGATTATTTCCAAGAATATAGATTGGTGAGTCATCTGCTTAGGAAGTGATAATTGATGCTGCGGAGGAGTTAATGAAAATGCTACAGAAGGAAATAGTACAAGAACAGAACTGTTTGTTTTGGCCAACTTTCTTATGGCCCAGAATCTGATTTCTCGTATTATCTTCATAGGAAACATTTCCACTGACCTCAGTTACCTCAGGGCACAGCTGTTTGTATTCTGTTAGCACAGAACACAGTGACAAATCTGAAATAATAAATACAACACCAAAAATTGAAATCCTGTTTCTTTTTACAACAGGTAAAACAGAACTGCAAAATAGATGAACCAAAGCCAAAGTACTCTTATATTCTTTCAAAATTGGTGGAGTCATGCATTTTTGTTATTGCTGGGATGCTGAACAAGCCGTCATTGAAATGCACAGCGTCAAAGCTAGGAGGAAAGAATGAAGCTGAGGAGCAACAAAACCTAGTGCATCAAAGTGACTTATGTGATTGAAAAAGAGCTTGGTGGGCCTAACTGGTCTACAAGTGGAACCACCCAGCCATCGGAAGCCATAACCAAAAGTGCCCTTAGAGATCGTAAAGCTAGGAATCTTCACAGAATTTTAACCCCAAACATTTCTTCAAACGCAGGCTTACTGCCTTGCCTTTATTACAGATATGAAAAAATGGAGCAGCTATGCTGAAGTGGGAGTGGAGGACCTAGAATAGGTAATCTGCCCTAGTATCTCACCCTAAGTGAATAGTAAAGGGACTTCTCTGAGAAGCAGAATTTAAAAACAATGAGAGACTGATCCCCTTGGGACCACTGAGGAAAGCCCCCAGGGCTGATATTCAGGAGACCCAGGTACGGATCCTAGCAGTAATGCTGAGCATAGATAACCAGCTTCAATTTGTTGTACAAGTAAAACAATTTTGAATCCCAGTTCTGGACCACATTAGTTACATGTTGAGTGCCTAATATTTCTAATTTTCATGATTATTATTTCTATGCTACATGGGATTATTATGATGATTCAATAGCAAAACGCATCATTTTACAGTGCCTAGCATCACAGTAAGCCCTTTGGAAAGGGGAAGTTACAATTCCTCTTACTTCTTGAGCAAGTCACAATATCTTTAGGCTTCAGTTTTCTTGCATTTTGAGAACTTAGGACTAGGTGAACCCAAATCAAAATCTAGAAATCTATGAAGCAAAACTGGAGAAGGTAAATCAGAATAGTCAGTCTTACTTTAATTGCTTTCTTACGGGCCACATACTCTAAATTTCCTTCTAAGGCCTTTGAACTGTATTAGTCTGCCCCCTAAATTCCATATAAAAGCAACTGACTGAAGGACAGCAAGAAAAAAATCACTCAGCAAGTTCATTTTCAGTTTGTGACCTCCTGTTGATCACGTAAAAGAAAAATATAAGTATAGGAAAATGAATGTATTGAGATATTGTTTGCAATCTTCCTTATATTTTACTTTACTTAGTCCAAAAATAGGCAGGCTCTTTCTAAAGTGCAGGCCTGAGACACAAAGTTTCTTGACTGTCATGTGTGTTCTTGTGAGACTGAAGTTCAATAATGAGATTGAATTTATGGATCGATGTGCATGCATGGTGGTGGGGGGAATATCCAGTGGTTTTGATTGCAGAGGAGGGTTCAGAGTGATCCTTTCTGCCACACTGATTAAGGGTTAGAGGAGGATGCAGTCCATAAGTCATGGAAGCCTGTAGCTGCTCATTCTTAATATTCCAAAAAAGGACAGAGCTAGAATTGATGGAGATAGCTAAATATTGTGCTTCAGGAGACCGGTCTCAGAAATGGTGCTCCCAGCTTTGTAAAGACTCCCACTTTCTGTGTCCAGGTAGATACTGTTGTTTCTGCAAGCCCAACATCCATTCCTCATTTTTCTGATAACATTCATGGCTTTTCATTGGAGACTGCTCTCTCCTTCACTCCCTGTGGTTCATACAGAATTATCTACTACTACTATTTAATCCAATTAGTGCAGTGAGAGTCAATTAAAGGCACATTTTTTTTTTTGAAAGAGCTACAAAGGTCTTTTATCTTCACTAGAAGAACCAGGATATAAGGATGGGTGCCTGGAATGGCAGGCAGCCAACATCTCACCATGGGGCAAGAGTTTGCTGTTAATGAAACTCATCCAGATATGAAAGATAGGGTCATAATGTTGTTTGAGCACCTTTATCTAGCTGTGTCCTGAGATCAGGCTACTACCAAGGACTTTTCAATAATGTGAAAAACAGTTCTTACTTTTGTTTAAGATAGGTTGGATTGGATTTCTGTCCCTTGTAAAGCCTTCAGATTTAAGAGTCCCTGAAGGTTTGCTCTATGAGCCTCCCAGCACTGATTGAGGTAGACTATATGACATGCTTAACTGCTTTGTGCCCCATAAGACCTCAGATATATTAATAAAACTCCAGAAAGGACCCCCCCCAATACAGTAAAGACTGAATTCCTACCAGTCTCTAAACTAGGGGCTCTGCATAAGGTTATAATCTAAGATAATGAAAATAGAGCATGTGGCTTTTCCTGCACATTCAAAACAATTTTGTACAATGTAACATCCACCTCAGCAGCAAAGAGTGCCCTTCCTAGGAGGTCAGCTGCCTTTTACTTGATCGTTTTTGTGACTTCCCTACAGTTATTGACAAGATTCATGGCCCAGTTCTTCAGGTATTGACCAATATCAATGAGGTCAGCTAGCTCTTAGCTGCTCTCACCTTTGCAAGGTTACCCAATTAAAAGAGAATGGCAATACTCAGCTCTGTTTCAGGGCTACTTTAGCAGCATATAGGAAGTGTTCAGACACTTCAATAGACTTCATATGCTCCTAATAGAAGACTAAGATCTTTCTTTCTCTTAGGTTAAGGAACTGTACTTCAAACTACCCTTCACATCATGGGAGATAAAGCTTATTTACTCAAATAGAATGGTAGAGACTAAGGAACCAAGGACTTGTTCTTGAACAAAAGGTGAATTTTTTTAAAAAAAGAAAGAAAGAAAAGGATCTAGATTTCTACCAATACTCCACAGTTCTAATTTTCTTTCTTAACTCTGCTTTTCTTCCCTTATGATCATACTTGGCAATCTGGTTATGGAGTGATGATGAATGGCCATCTCATAAAAATATCTGGATACCCAAGCCATGGCTGACACAGCATAAATTTGTGAAACTGCCTGAAATTTCACCATTGGAAAACCAGCATTTCATGCCAAAATTGTCATCTCTAAATTTCCTCTGTAAAACGCAAACATTATGGGTGGGTCTCTTGCTTTAAATCTTCAATGTTTTCCTATAGATTATAATTTCAGGTTACTTTCTTTCCCAAGTGAGAAGAGTGTAAGGAAAGGGGTGTACTCAAAGTATAGAAAGAGATCAAAATAGAATCATTCTAGAGTGTAATTGTTAAAATTCATAGAGTGTAATTGTCAAATTTCATCTGGATAAAAACTGTAAAATGGATTGATGCCAGGAAAGTTAGATGCGAAACCAAGTAGTTACAATGGCTACCTCTTGACAACTGGAAGGACTGACTAGAAGGCACGTTGAATTATCTAAGTCTGCATCTGTTCTTTGAGACTCCAGATATAAATATTTCATGCTGATATCCAGATTTGAAGACTTTTTCTAAGATTTAAATGACAACGTCTTTTCCTGTTTTTAATAAATTAAATCAAAGGAGAGGGATGGAAACTGTATTTTAAAATATTCTTTGTTCAAGCACAGTTCTACCACATTGTTGCATTTACTCCTCACTACAATTTTGTAAAGTAGAGGTTATTATCTCATTTCATACCTTAGGCTCAGAAAAATCACATGAGTTTGCAAATATCACAGTCATTGTCAGGCACAGACAGGATTCATATCCAAGATGCCTGGCTTGAAATTCATATTCCTTGTGCTTCCTCGTGTTACCTACTGCAAGGTCAAATATGCTTTCATATCCTTCAAGGATATGAAGACCTTGCAGCAGGTAACATTTCTGGCTTAAGCCAGAAATGCTAATGAGCCTGCCTTACTTTCTCTAACCATTAAGTTTCAGTGATGCACATTTCCACCTGCCAGATACAGCCTAACTGATCCTCGGAGCAGATCTGAGATGATGAACCAACCCTGCCTCATTTTTATGTCAGTTTGCACTTTTTGGCTAGTGTCACTACAGGAAACATGTTATAACTTAACTAAATTGCTGATGTTAGTAGGATGCAGGACAAATACCAAATGCCCTTCACAGTTCTCACCTGGGCTTTAGTTTGTCAAGCAAGCAATTTTCATTTAAGAATTTAAAGAAAAATGCCATCTCATATTTGTCAAAGTAACAAATAAAGTCTTCCCAATTGCTCCTTTTAATTATCTGTTTCTTACATTGTCCCTGCGCAGCTTTATGGTTTCCAGGTGACTTATATCACCAAGATATATATTTTTCTTCCCAAGGAACTCAGGCTGAAGATCTTATACCATAATTCAATAAAAAATTTTATGTTTTCATAGAAAAGACACTTTGTATGTTCTATTAAGATTGCTTTATAGCATGCGTTATCTCAGCTTTAACAGCCAACATCACAGAAAGGGTTGTATAATTTAAAGTAGCAAGAAAGGAATAGAGCCTAAATGGGGTACTTCTCTTTGCCATATTCTTTCTATAGCTCTGTGACATTCAAAGACACACTGTGAAATTTGTCTTTGCTGCCATCACGGGTGTCTGAAATGTGCTATTTTCTGTGTAACTGACACAGGCCCGATCAGAGTCTCCCCCATCCCTGGCTCCTCTCTTCCATTCCCTGTCGTCTTATGCCTTCTAAGCCTAGTGCTGTGCCCTAGCACCCTGGCAATGAGCTGTAGACAAGGATCACTAACTCTGAAACAGGTGGGCATATAGAGGGAGAAAAGCCAAATTCAGCACAATCATATAGGATGAATTATGCCAAAGGGTGACATATTCGTGAAACTGAAATTCTCTTTTATTTGTGGCACAGACAAGACATAAGTGCATGATGATTTATCTTTCTAATGTAGTCTGGCTTGGGAAGAGCAGAAATAAAAGTTTCTCTATACTCAAGAAATGGATAAAGACATTGAGAACATCACATGTTTATCAACTTTCAAGATTACATTAAACAGGAAGGAGATCGTGAATATACAAGATGGTAGAATTATGACCCTGGTAGCCTGGAGTTGTGGGTCAAATTCAAAAGGGGCATTTAAACGGGAATAGATGTCATGTTCCTCACTTCCTAAGAAGCTGTCACATAGTTTCCTAATTGGCTCTAAAATAGAGACCTAGGACCAAGAGCTGAATTATAAAAAAGGCAGATGTCATCAGAAAATAAGAAATGATTATAAACATTTAATAAAATTGGATGCTTCTGTGAGAGTTAATTCTTTTCATAGAATGCAAACAACAACAATAACAGACTAGAATGAATTGATAAGGAAATAAGCTTTTGGGGAGAGTGGGGATGGGGTAGGAAATGCATAAGAGAAGATCTGATACTCATCTTCAATTCCGAGATTCTGGGATGCATTCTGTGACATAAACTATAGTTTTGTGATGGTTGAGTATCTTGAAGAGTGAAAATTAAGGGAAAAACAGACAGAACTAAAAGTTATTTTAAAGTAGTATACAATCATAGAGTAGTTCACCAATAATGTAAAGTATACAGAAATAATCTTTTATATTTGCATACACATCCCATTTACAGATTCTAAACTAGTTAGTTTATAGCTATGAGGAAATTAAAGTAGCTATGAGGAAAAATTGACTTTCCCAG